CCACAAATCAATTAATATCAACATCAGAGTAACTTCAGCCAAGTTAGGTCCTTCAATTATTGAATGTTCTATTAGCCATTATCAAAGGGTTGTTTGAAAAGCCATGTCTTCAATTCTCTCCAAAAAGTTTGAAGTGTAGGGGCCTGTCTGATCTCCCTGGGGAGGGTATTCCAGAGCCGGGAGGCCACAATCAAGAAGGCCCTTTTCTGTTGCCAAATTTTTCAGGACCCCAACACTGGGCAAAGGGGATCCAATTTGGTGTTGGGACTCACAGTTTAAGAAGCAATGCCTTAGACTATGAAGTATGGAGAACAAGATGTTTCAGTAAATGGGATACCAGGAAAACTATGCCCCCACCAGTAACAAATTTATTATTTAACATGGCAGGTTAATTTAACAGAAGTGGTATATAATTTGCAATGAAAATAACGTAGGGGAAATCTTCACCTGTACCATATTATAGATGCATTCAACACAGTTCTTCTTCACATCAGGGTCAGGGCTTCCCAGCAATCTGATAAGCGGCTCTAATCCACCTTGCTCAAATATTTGCACTTTACTGTTATATTCAACTGCCATATGGACCAGACAAAGGCTGGCAAATTCATGGATTACCACATCTTCTACAGAACAAAAACAAAATAATATAATCAGACATTAACCAACATAGCAAATGCTTGTTTCTTGATTGTGAGAAGTATGCTTTTAGAAATTCAATGACCAGTAGCTCCTAATCCATTCCCATCTGAATCTGCTATATTTATACAACAACCAGAGGGAGCACAAGTACATATATTTATTTTAAATGCCCCCCCCCACACCAAAACTGCATAATACAACAATAACCTGTTATCAAATGATAGAAGCAGTTATGAATTTGCACAAAAGGGGCAATGCAAGTTACCTTCTGGAGCCAGACGAGCTATGAATGCAGTTGTGACATCAAGCTGCCTTAACGATTTCTTCACATCATCTATAGTGAAACAAATATACATATGAAGCAATATATTTTGTTAACCGAAGTAACAGAGCATGCAATCAGAACTAGTGATGCAGACTTAAAGCTATTGTTTAATTCTAATAAGGCTGGACCGAAAGTATCGGATTGGGAGGAATATCAAAGGCAGAACATTCTTGTCTGGGTGTCGATGGGGCAAATATAATATGAAGAAAATGAGAGGGAGAGAACGGAAAACAACTTCCAAAAGAGACTTTTAGATTGCTTGCCAAACAACATTGGATACTTAATAATGTTCTATTGGAGAACGAAGACCACACGTATTCCCACTCATTACATTTGGTGACATTTTGGCAAAAGCTTTCATGCTAAAGTCTAGATTTCAAAAACACCAGATTTGTAATGCCTTGTGGATTTATTTCCATTAAAAACTGTTTTCCCAAAACATTCAGGGCCGTGATGAAAGTAGTGGAGTAATCCCAATGATAATTTCACAATTTATAAAAGATTTTATCAGACCAGGGCACGCTGGAAATCATTCACCATTCACAAATTTTTTTAGCCCAATTCAGATAATATTCCTCCCTTAGTTCTCTATCTCTATATGGCTTAGATAGGAATCCTGCAGGCTCCAGATGCTACTGGACTAGAAGTCCCAGCAGAACTAGTCAATTTAGCCAATAATGAGGACAGTTCTAGAAGGCCCCATGAGTCCATCCCGTTCATGTCAAACAATTAGTCATCCGTGTATTGTCGAAGGCTTTCATGGCTGGAATCACTAGGTTCTTGTGGATTTTTTTGGGCTATAGAGCCATGTTCTAGAGGCATTTCTCCTGACGTTTCGCCTACATCTATGGCAAGCATCCTCAGA